GGCCTTGTAAGTAACTGATTAGTACTTGTTGCATATTTTTGTAGCAAGCTTGTGTTCTGGTGTAATTTTTTTGTCCATTTTAAGGTTTGGTGGCTTTGAGCACATGAAAATCAAAACATCTTTGCACTATAAAACATACATATTGTACTGAAATCAGCAATGATCTGAATTGCATGGATACCATCAAAATAGCCCTTAATTTATGTCTACCTTTTTTATTATTTCACTCTTATATTAATTCTAATCATGGTGCCAATTTCAAAATGATAAACAGATTTGTGCCAACTAGCTACTAGGTACTTATTTAATTATTTTACTTCAGTTAAATGCATATAAAGTTAACATTTTTACCTGAATGCAAGGCCCTAAGCTTTGTCACAAAAGCAGTACATTGGTCCCGCCAACAGTATTTCTCTTTATACTTGTTGCGTAGCATGCTTGCCTCTTCTAATCTAGTTTTCAGATTTTTTCGTGCTTGTTTGATTTTTTCAGCCCAGTCAGCTTCTTTATGTACTATGCATCCGTGCCCAAAAAGTACTTCCTCCAGAGCCTCTGCCAAGCCAGAATTATGGGTAATAAGGATTGGTACACCTGCTGACAATGCCTCCAAAGCCGTGAGACCAAATGCCTCTGTACCTGAAGGCATCAAAACAAGATCCACTTCTGAAAATAGCTGAGCCAGTTTTCTTCTTTCTTTGTAAAAACTTCTCACAATCAGTTGACTACGAGAGATCTCAAGATCTTCCAACCTCCCAGCCAGTTTCTCTTGTTCTCCCTCAGGGGCACCAACAACTTTGAGAATGTATGATGGCTCATACTTATTGAGATGTGCCACAGCTTTGGCAGCAACATGAAGACCTTTTAGTTCAAAGTCTTCAGTGCTCCCTTTGCCAAACACTAAGATTTCAAAGTTCTTTGAATTTTGGAATTGCTTCTGCTCTCCAGAAAACTCATCAAAAATGCCAGGTATAAGATTGAAAACATGATCTTTCTTACACTGATGCAGAGCAGATCTAAAGGTTTCATTGAGCTTAGAGCCAACTGTTATAACCATGTCAGCCTTTTTACACAATTCTACCTCAGTTTCACGCTGTTTTTGCCCTTCGGAAATGGCACCTGGGGTTTTCTGGAACATTGCTGTTTCTTCTGCATTTCTTAGGACCACATGCACCCATTTACAGCCAAGGTTATTCTTAAAGACCTGTCCATAACATCCAGACTTAATGCCCTGACCAATGATAAAGTCAGTGCTAAATCCTTGTGGAGGAAACTGCAGACAATTAACTGGTTCATAACCTGTAAGTTTCTCAGGTTCAAAAACCTTGATGTTGTATTTTTGGGCATCTTCTTTATCCTCTGGACTGGCACTTGGAATTAAAATACCAATTTCTACATTTTCTAGTCTAGAAAGTTCTATGGCCATCTGTCTCATGAAGGTGGAACAACTGCCTTTGGTTGATTGAGTCCATTCCTCAGTCAAAAAGGTTATCTTCATGATGGCAGCTTGCTTTTTCAGATAATGTCCTGTAAAAAGTTTACAAATGATTTCAGAATTGTATGACTGCCCTTGATCCATAAATATCAGTTCCCACAAAAGAAGTTTATTCAATCAAAATGCCATAAATTTATTTTTAGTTTACTAAAAACTATGAATGCAAGTAGGCATGAGCACAGGGTAACAGTATTTTCATTCTATTTTGTTCAGTCAGTTAAAGTAATTGAAGGTTCTGGAATTCCATTCCTCAGTCAAAAAGGTTATCTTCATTTTATTCAGATAATGTTCTGTACATATGATTTCAGAATTGTATGATTGCCCTTGATCCATATGTATTAGTTCCCACAGAAAAAGTTAATTAAATCAAAATGCGACAAAAGTATTTTTATAATGACTGTAAATATATGAAAATCGTATACGAACACTGCCGTTGAAGAAACGAATATAGAAGTGATCCTCGCAGTTATCAACACTACTGAACTAGTAGTAGAAATAAAGCCTGAAAAAAATTCAGGCCCGTATGAGATACCGTACGGGCCTGTTTCTGATTTTCTGTCAGTTAAACCCGGTTTAACTAAATATGTTCTCTGGTGTGTCAATAGGCTGAGGTATTGGATGCAAGAGTGTGCTGTTTCCAGCTATATGTAGCTTCCTCGTCAATGTTAAGCCCGCTACCCGAAAAGAAAATTGTAATTATTACAATTTGTTCCCAGCAGAAATTTCACTCACTTTTAAGCACAAAAATTCGATCCTAAAATCAGAAAAGTATGCCAAACCACAAAATAAAACCCCTACCGATTTTTTAACCTAAATAGGTCGCTGATATTCACCTATTTTCACACAAAGCAGTATACAACACATATTACTGATCGGAAATTTCGTATACGAGCGCCATTCCAATCTACCACAAAACTTATTTGTTACTGATATATCACCTTGGGGTTTTCCATTTCACAACAAGAGCAGTGTTAAGTGAAATATCAGCTTTCTAAATATGGTGCAAGATTAGTTAGGCTAGCCCATGTACATACAAAGGCATGTCTTGGAGCATTGCCTCATTTGGAACATAAAAAATGTTCGGATCCAACTAATTTCGTCCTACATTTTGTAAAGCGCTCGTTCAAGCCTCCTCGCTTATCTCATAACCCTTGGTATAGGGTCTGTGATGGACGTTTCCAACCAAGGCATCAAACTACATGCTGTTGAAATTTTAATATCACTCTTTACGATGCTGGATGGATTTATCCTCAAGTACCTTCTTTTATTTTAAACTCTTGTACACTGAATGCCCCTACGCCTATTTGCCTAGCAGATACCTCGTAGAAAAACGAGCGAGCCGAATAGGCGGCCATATAAAGTATGTCACAACTTATAGAGATTGTTCAACGATCCCTCTCACCTTATCTGGAGGTGTAAAGCAATTCACTTGATCGCGTGTTCCTCAAGAAAATTCGATAACATCGCCATAATGTGGTCTTGAGATCATGAATAGCAACAGTTGACTTAACCCGGAACCACGCTATCCCATGAGACATGGGAAGCGCGGGAAAAACTCGCATAAATTATGCAGGTATTCTGTTGTGAAATGCTAATTATAGCTCAAAAACTTGGGTCAGCTCGCATAAACCCCCAAGGTAGGGCCTCGGTCAAACGAAAGAAATTCGTAAATCCAGTACAGCAACATAAAGCAGGATGTGACTGAGATAAAAGAACTTTCATCTGCGTGTGACAAGGAAAAATCTGATGAGTTCCCGCTGAGAGGACTCGAGCTGCCACTACTCACTCTGTAATATCTCGCGCTCTAAAGCTCTACCTAGTTAGCTCATTGACAAGTCTAAGGGGAGGTCGTCGTGCACCCCGCTTTCCTTCCCCCCCCGCCCCACCCCTTGTGAGATGATTTCCTTCTGGTAAACAACAGATAAATATCATAATTCAGGCGGTGAAAACGTGCATATTCTGAAGAGTATACATGTCAACGCATTTCAAATATTTACTAGTGGTAGATATTCATCCGTGCAGCTTGTAAGCCTGTCCCTGTCGGAGGATTTTGGTTGAGTGACGATAAAATTTGCCTGATCCCTCATTAGGCTCTACAATATTATTTTAATTTTCCTCCATTAGCAGTTAATTGACAGTCAATTTTTATAGTTTTCCTTTGTACTCTGTTGGCGACCGCTGATCCCCACTCTGTTCCCCCTGAAAATCATGTGATCCCTCTAATATCTTTCACCCACTCAACCCAGGAGATAAGAAAAAAATGACTGGTCTCCTAATACGACTGTACTGTTTTGTTGCAAAGCACGTAAGGAGCGGCTAGAGCACGAAAGAATTGTAGGGAGACACACAAGACGAAGTCAAGTGTTTCTCCCCACTTCTCAAGTACGTTCGTAATCTTGCAATCTAACTGAGCGTGAAAACTGTCAAAACTCGGATGGTGTAATTCGTTATCTCTATGAAGATCTATGAGGATTTTCGTCTCTGCTCATGTTATAATAAGGTAAATTACGGCACTTAGCATGTTTACAAACCTTTGTTCGGTTCTTCTGTTGCTACTTGCCGTCTCGCTTGTTTCGAAATTTCCCTTTCAACTGACAATAAAAAAAGCTAGAGAGGAGTCCCGGAAAAGGTCGGACATAATACAACTCGGCAAATGGCGTGAAAGCTCAGCTCTATGTTTTGTACTCTAATAGAGCACGTTCTTTCAACCAATGACAGCGCGCGTTATATCCGAGCTTTATTTTAAATAAATTTCACAAAAAGTAAGTTCTGGGGGCGAAAATCTTAAGTCAAAGAGTGGTCAAATCCATGGTAATAAAAGAGTTGAGCTGAAAAGTATGTTAAACCAGGTGATCAAATTTGCTGGTGTACCGATTTTCCAAAAAGCTGAGGGTACACTGCCGCGGAGGAGGCTTGGATACGAGG